TCTTCCTCCAGACCATATGTGCACAGCACAAGGCTGTTGACACCAGCTACCTGATTTACCAGTGTGTGAAGTTCTTTCCGCTGTCTTGGATTGACATAGGAGGTGTTTTGCCTTGGATGTGATATGCAAGGTTTGAAATGCCAAGATACAATTTTTCTACTTTTTTTGAGTGGAAAAATAGCTGGTTATTTTCATGATCAGTCTACTATGCAGCACAAAGACAAGAGAAGCATGAGCCATGCTCACGCTTTAGGATCCCACCAAAGGTCAGGAAGTATTTAATCTGTCCTGTCCAGCAGTAGAGCTCATTTGCCTTATAATGTGTTTCCCTCCTTGCTCAGAAGCAACATTTGATTTTTCTAGTGCCGAAGGCAAGCTGCCAGCAATAGAATCTGGGAGGGCAGCTTCCTTGATAGGCCAGAGCGGCTCCAGAAATGTTGAGCCATCTTCTGCCCAGGTGGAATGGGCTTCACCTGGTAAAGAACAAGCAGCCTGGAAAGAAGATAAGTTGGAGATGTGGCTTGCACAAAGGGAAGCCTTTTCCGAGTACATGGTTTGCAGACTGATTTCTCCCAGCCCAGCTCCAGAAGCCGTCTCAGTTTGAGTTGTGTATCGTCTCAGAGATGTGAAACTTCAGCTTGTCAAGAAATCTACCCCGTGCCTGTTCAGGGAAATCTCTTCATTCCTTGCATCCTCACCTCTGCTTCCCATCTGAGAAAGCAAGGGCTCAGCCTCAGCCGATGCCAGGCATGTCACGGAGCTAGCACACATGGGAAGGGGCTGAGCCATCCCAGCAGCAGCACAAGTGCTTGCTTTAGCTGCTGGCCCTTTGCATTATGCCTCGATGTCCATGTACCACACAAGGATAGTCAGCGTGCCACGTTCCCCACTTCCTTCTTCATCTCATCTGCTCGCCATGCAGCCATACTTGGTGAATACCTCTCTCGCATGCTCTTCAAAACGCTCCTGAGACTGCCAGACAGGCAGACAGTCTGCTTCTAGGTGCTGTATCGTTATCGCATCCAAAGTTGATGAATTCAAAGTTATGGGACTGTGTCAGCTGAGCCAAGAGGCTGTTCAACTGCAGCAGGATCAGGCCTTAGACCCGTTCAACTAAAGTTAATTAAAAAATTAAAATTAACGTCTAAATCTCAGGTGCAGAGTCCGTGGCTGGCAAGAAAGACAGGAGCACAGTTTGGGGGTCTGAGAGTTTGCCAGAAGACAGGTATCTCACCTGTGGAGCTGGGGTCAGAATATCCCTAAGGAAGAACATATCTGGGCAATTCTTTTTGTCTGTCTCAGAATAAATTATTCACAGAAGAGTTCCTTCTCTAGCTGGCAAAATACTCTTTGGCATGCAATATTCCATGCTTTGTAGTCCAGGGACGCAGAGCACACTCTGAGAACTGTGGATTAGCATTAAGGATTGCAGTGATTTATATTTTTTTCTCCTATTAAGCACCAAAGCACATCAGAGCAGATTCAGAGTGGATGTCTCTGTTACGGGACAGTGTGGGATTGTGGTGCATCTGCTATGGCAGCACTGAGAGAGCAGGAGCCTGGGACTCCCTGCTTCACTACAGAGCTGCTTCGCTCAGCGTAGCCTCCTGTTTGCAGCCCCAGGTTTTCCATCCTGGTCCCTTCACAGCCTCTCATCCCTCCCGCTCCAGGTACAGAGCAGACCAAGCAGATTGTCTTTGCTCCCAGCACGGAGCCAGCCTTTGTCACCGTCCCCCAGAACAGCTTTGGGGAGCCCTTCGTACTCAATCCCAACACCTGGTCTCTGGTTGTTGAAGCAGAGGGTGTGCTGCTGGTAAGGACCAGCCCCCATGCTCCATCCACCACAGGGAGCTTCAGCAGCTCCCTGGGGGCAAGTGTCCCAAACATAACCAACTCTCCCATCTCTCCTCCTAGGACTATCTGGTTTTGCTACCCAGCTCGTACTATGAAGCTCCAATACTGCAGCTGAAGGTCACAGAGCCATGTACCTACCAGCCAGCCCCAGAACAAGCCACGCAGAAGTAAGGATCTCCACATCTTTGTGCTGTGTGGGACCTACTCAGCTCCTCTTGGCCTGGTTAATAAATATATACAGTCCACACCCTGTGAGGGTCTGGATGCAATAGAACTGTTTACTGGAGCACTTTGCCATGGTTGATAAAGCCCACTGAACCTGTGCTGTCCCAGAAAGCCAACGCATAGATCTCTTCCACTGTCCCAGAAAGCCAACGCATAGATCTCTTCATCCATGGCACAGGCAGTCTTTGTGTTCTCACGGACCCTGGAGGGCCAACTCACCCAGTAAGACCACAGCCCTCTGCCAGGCTGGGTTCCCAGTGCTGGGTTGTGTGTCAATCAACAGCCCTGGAAAGTGGCTACAATAAATTAGGTCTTGTTAGACTATTTAAAATGAATGGGTAGAGTCTGGTAGTGCTTAGAGCATCTCAGTGCTCCACTATACCAATGGTCCCCAGGATAAAGCACGTTGCAAGGGGAGAAGCTTTTTGTTGTTAGTGCCGTCATGGGTCCTACAATGCACAATCTGATGCACCACACTAACCAGAGGTGTTCCTTTGGGCAGTGGAGCCTTTATGTTGCACCAAAACATTTTGCAAATCTTGCTGGGATCAGGCTGCATGGGTGCTATTGACTCTTAAAATCATGATGTAAGAACCATGCTTTGCAATTTTTTTCTTTGTTTTTAGCTGCCTCTTGTATAAGTACCTGTCTGTGGAAGGATTCCCTGCTGCTTCAGGGGTGGACGCGGTGTGCAGGCTGGACAACCGATTGCCCAGAGTGTGTCCCACAGAGCAGCTCACCCCCTCCCATCCCTGGATGGCAATGTGCAGCGGCAGCGATGTGAGTGACACTTCTGTTTCATCCCTTGCACGGGCACTCTGGCACTCATCCCTCTTCTCCCACTGTCTGGTCTTTACCTGGGCGCAGGTTACCAGAAGGGCTTTTCACCCATGTACACCGCACTGTTGCCCCTCAGTCTTGCAGCTACGTGCTTGTACGCCCTGTTGTTCAAGGCACCCAAAAGCAGTGTCTCACGTGCAAAGGGCTTGCAAAGTCACGTGTGGTAAGAGTTGGCCCCTCACGTGCAGAGGAGGCTGGTTTGTAGCACAGGCATCCTGCACATGCTCACTATGGGGAGTGGGACAGGACACCCTTGCTCAGTTGTGTCTCTGTCCTTCAGGTGGAAGTCCAGCTCTCCTTGCCTGTTGCCCAGCCCGGGAAATATGTGCTGCTGGTGGAGTACGCCAACACCAATGCTTTGCAGACAGTGGGCATAGCTGTGAGCTCGCCACACTTAGCCATGCAGCAGGGCACGTTCATCTTCTACCCGTGTGTCTACAGGTATGGTTTATTGAAGCTGTTGATGCAGGTCAAACCCTGTCCTTTACTGTAACAGCAACTTTCACGGAGGAAACAAATGTCTGGGGTGTCCTTGGAAAACTTCACTCTTATGACTTGCCAGAAAATGCATCAAAAGATTTACAGAGACTTTGTACAAATACCTTCAGGACATATAGCCGGCAGGACAAGAAATGGGTCATGACCCTACTCAAGGCTGGCTTCAAGATCTGTGTTTCTCTTACAGTTTCCTTTGTCGAGGGATTGCTGTAGATTCCCAGAGCCGCATAGCAACTTTTGAACTTACCTCAGAGGCCACCATTCGGTTCACCTCCGATCTGGCTGACTTCTTCCTGGTAAGGCTTCCTGCAAGGGCAGCTCTGTTGGCAGGTTGCGAGGGGGAAAGGCAGGAGTGGTACCTAGCCTGTAGAAGAGTTTTCGAGTCCTGTTTGGAATAGGTACTAGATCTTAGTCTATGTCATGAGCAGTCCAAGGTGGAGAACGTGGTCAGTGGTGTGTTTTGAAGTAGATGATAGGACTGGGATTTGGGAGAAGATGGGGAGTAGAAGCTGCTCGTTGCAGAGGGAGCTCTGCAGCAGTGTGGCAGTGCCTGTTCCTATTTTACCTTGAAGGCATTCACAGTTGCTTAGCCAAGATAGAAGAATCCCATAAATATCTGGAGCTCCTAAATGCCTTAGGGCTTATGCCAAGGAAGAAGGGGCAGTAAACTGAGGTCTGACCTGCCCTGCATTAGCTGAAGTGTCTGATAAGGAGGTGCTTAGTGTGGTCAGTCTGATCACTGGTGGGCACAGAAACTGCTGTAGGCTGCCAGTGGCAGAGGCTATCGTGTAACCGGGCATCTCTCTCTTTCACGTGCGGCAGCACAAAGTGTACCTCATACCTGCTGCACAGTTCACCATGGAGTTCATCGAACCGAAGGTGCATTGCATCAGCGTTCATGGCACGTTCTCATCCAACAGGTAAGAGTCTCGGGTCCCTCAGGGTTTTAGCATGAATGTGGCTGTTTCCAAAAGCAGTTGCTTCCCCTGCTTCCCTCAGGTCTGGAGCCTTTTCAGCTCTTGACCCAAGAGAATTAATCTGTGGCTGAGGCAAAGCGCCATGCCCATGCCCATGCCCACCGAGCAGGCAGCAATGGAGTAAGGACTGAAGTCAGGCTGCTGGTCCTTTACCTGAACACCACGCTGCTTCCTGTGGTAGACACTGAAGCGTCATCCTGAATAGGCTTTCCTGTGCTTGCTCACATACAGCAAGAAACACTCACTGTATATCTGAATTCTTGACACTGCTCAGAATCAGTATTCGCACAGGAACTGGTCTGTGCAAGGTTCTTGTTCTTCCTACTGAGCCCGTGTCCCAGAGCCCCAGGGATCCTGGTAGAAAGCTCTCCCTCACCGGCATGCTTCGTAACCTGCTAGGTGTTACAGGGCGTGCATCTGCCACCAGGACCCCATAGCCTCTCTCTATCCTTGTCGGAGATCTTTACGTCCCATTTTCTCCTTGTTTTGCAGCAGCTCCTGTGTTCCTTCAAGGTTCCTGAAGCTTTCTCAGTCAATCATTTTGGAAGGAGGCCAGGCTCTGCCCATCGCCCCTGACGTCCCCCTGGCTCAGGCTGTTCATGTAGCTCTAGCTGGGGTCCCGGTGGAGCCTGCACCTCGGCCTCCCACAGCGGTGGACCCTGCCGCAGAGCTCATTCTCCTGCAAACACCGCAGGTAGTGACATGGGTGTGGGTTGGGCTGGCGTGCTGGTGCTGTGACACTGGACGTCTGGGGCAGGGAGAAGTATTCCTTCTCTATTGAGTAGCTTTAGCAATTAGAAATTTAGCAATTAATATTTTCAGAATTAATTTGGACTTTAAACTTGTCCCTGAACCTGTAATTCCCATGGACTCTCCTGTCCTAGCTCTATCCAACTCTGCTTGGTTCTTTGGGCTCCCAGGAAAAGCTTTGCAAGTGGCACTGTTAGAGGGGGGAGTGTGGAGACATGAGAGGTTGATTCACCAAAAGTCTCAAGATCTGACAGTCTGTAACCTGACAGTTGTGCCGTGAGAGCACAAATTCATGCAATAATAACAAATATCCCAGCTGTGAGTACAGATGTCAGATGTGGTTTTTTTGTCTCTCTCTTTTCGTGTTTCGGGCCAGGCTGCTGTTGTGTTTAACAGCCGGATCCAGACCCTGGGACGCTACGCTTTCATCCTACACTACTACCAGCCCAACCATCCCACCTTCCCTGTGGAAGTGTTAATCAACGGTGGGCGCACCTGGCAAGGTGAGAAGAGCAGGGACTTGGGGGAAGGTGCTTGTAGGCAGAAGCCTTGGCAAGTTTTTGATGCCAGGGGATAACTGTGGGTTCACTGAGGAGTGCAAAGATGAAGCGAGATTGACTTATCTGTTCTAAACCAGGAGGGTGTGATGAGGACTGCAAGGGAAATGTGAGACCAACAGGTTTGTTGTCTTTTCAGGTCAGACCAATGCTACTTTCTGCCCACATGGCTACGGATGCCGGAGCCTGGTAGTTTCCGAGGACCAGATTGTCCTGGATGTTACCGATAATGATCTGACTGTGGTTGTTCGAGTGCCAGAGGGCAAGCAGCTGTGGCTGGTGAGCCTCTCTCCAGGAAGCTCCTGGGGCATGCCGGACCAGGCTCCAGCCACGTGGCTCCAGCAGGGCTGGAGTTTGTCCTTGGGGATTTTTGTCACTGTGTGACTGCAGGAATGTTTCCCACCATCACTCAGTTTCTGAACTACCCTAGAAAGTTGCAATCTCCAACTTTAGTGGTGTAGAATTGAGGGCAGGATTCACAGAGACAGGGTCTGTATATGAATTAGCCTTCACTGTATGGTTTTAGTACCAAAGCGAGGCAGATATGGAAGCTGTTGCTTTGGATATATAGCTTGTAATAATCCAAAATAAGCCTTATTCATACCCCAGTACTATTTTGCACCTGCAGAGCATTGTTTGTCCAGGCAGGTCTCATCACGGGAGCCAGTAGTCCTTGTTATGCTTAGGCCAGCAGGACTAGAAGATTGACCAAAATTTGGATAAATGGCCGAAAGACAGAATTGGAGCCCGGGTGCCTTCATGTCTAGGATTTGAGATGATGGTGACAGCCTGCTTCTGTGCTGAAGCACAGCCAGCGTTGCCTTTTTTTTTTACTCCAGTGAATTTGGGCCACCCCTCTCCTGGAGCATTAAAATAGATGGACCCTGATGGATGAACCTCAATGGAGAGGTGATCCCTGGTCTTTCCAGTACTCAGGCACTTTGTTATATTCTGTCCCAGCAAGGGATGAGCTGATGAGAAGTTAAGGTGCATTTTGAGTCAGCTCATTTAGGATTGCGTCTGTCTGGCTCAGCTAAGGAGCCTGGCTCACCCACCTTGTCCTTGCTGTGCAGGATTACATCCTCGTGGTGCCTGAGGACAGCTACAGCTCTCAGTACCTGCAGGAGGAACCCCTGGACAAGTCCTATGACTTCATCAGCAGCTGTGGTGTCAACAGCTTCTACATCAGGTGAGACCTTTGGCTGTGGGTGGCTGCTCTGCTGTCTGTGGGCTGCACACTCCTCAGGGAGCAAAAGCCCATTTCCTTTATGTGTGGCAGGGCAGGGATCCACTTAAGGCTTTCCTTATGTAATGACCAAAGCTGTGGGTATTTGGGGGATCTCAGTGTCACAGGCTCTCCCTCCCACTAATTCAGTACCCACTGCTGTAGGAGATCCTGCTGGATTTTGGGGTGGTAGGGAGGCTGTCGGGTTGTGCGGCAAGGTGATTCCTTCTGCCTTCCCCTGCAGCCCCAGCACGTCGTCGAGGTTCTGCCGTGACTCTGCCATCTCGCTCTCCCTCTTCTACAACAATGGGGCGCAGCCCTGCCGGTGCCATGAAGCGGGGGCACGGGGCAGCCAGTGCGAGCCCTTCGGTGGGCAGTGTCCCTGCAAGTCCAACGTCATCGGGCGAGAGTGCTCCCGCTGTGCCACTGGCTACTGGGGCTTTCCCAACTGCAGGCGTGAGTTGTCCTGTCTCCCACTCTGCTTTCCCAGCACTTGCTGTTTTGCCTCTTACAGGGCTGAGGCTGATTTGGGAAATGGCTGCATTTTCCAGCCCTGTAATGGCTCTTCTTGCATGAAAACAGCCCAGCTGCCTGCAGAGCAGTTGAGCTCTGCACCTATTGCCTCGCACTCTCCTTGGGCTGCCCGGGTCTCGCTCCCCCAAACACAGTCCCTTTTCTGCCCCTTCCAGCCTGCGACTGCGGGACACGTCTCTGCGACGAAGTGACGGGGCAGTGCATCTGCCCTCCGCACACCCTGAAGCCAGAGTGCATCGTCTGTGAGCCCCAGACCTTTGGCTGCCACCCCCTCATCGGCTGCGAGGACTGCAATTGCTCTCGGCCCGGTGTGCAGGAGCTGACGGAGCCAGGCTGTGACGTGGACAGCGGGCAGTGCAGGTGAGGGAGCCCTGTCGCTGCACAGGGCATGTCTGGCAGCATCCCCGGTCCGTGTCTGGCAGCATCTCTGGTCCCTGCTGGAGTGATGGGACTGTCAGCAGGTTACAGGGAGGGATGGGGAAATCCTCATCAGTGCTGTGTCCCTGCAAGCGTGGGTGAGCCCTGAAAGCCTGGCTGCTCCCCGCACAGCAGCACGAAGCAGAGGTTTCTAATGCTTGTGTCCCATCCAGGTGTAAGCCCAATATCATAGGGCGGCAGTGTGACCTCTGTGCCCCTGGCTTCTACCACTACCCCAACTGCCGGCGGTGTGACTGCCACCAGGCTGGCACCGAAGCAAGCGTGTGCGACCCGGTCACAGGGCAGTGTCACTGCAAGGTCAGTCCTTTGATGCCTTCACACAGCACGTTTCTGCTCGGCTCGACTCTCCTGCTCTGGCAATGCAGCTGGTTCAGCTTGGGGGGGCTGTGGGTGTCTGGCGTGCCAGGAGGGAGCAGGGCTCAAGGAGAGCGCCTGTGTGCTGAGCTGCAGCCATCCTGCCCCATGTGGCAGTGGGTTCAGAGCACACTGAAAGACTCCTTCTCCCCATTTTTCCTGTCCGTGAAGGTCTATGCTTTGGGCTGTCACTGGGCAGGTGGACAGTCTGAGTCCAGCCCTGTGTCACAGACCATCGCAGGTAAAGCTCTCAGCCCTGTTGACTCTTTCTGCTCCTGCATGACAGCAGAGTAACTCAAACTGCTGCTGAGCTGCCTGCTCCAGCCCCTTTGCAGGGCTCACAAGTAGGGTGAATTTAATGTTTGATGGGTGATGTGCAAGCAAACCTGTTCAGGAACTGCTTAATAGTCTTTCAGCATCACATCATTGCGCTTTCATCACTCGTTCAGCCATCTCTGTCACCTACTAAGGCCTAGTGAGGAGCTGCTGACACTGTTGAGCTTTGCTTGTCTTCCAGGAAAATGTGGAGGGCCTGAGGTGTGACCAGTGCCGCCTGGGAACATTTTCTTTGGATGCCAGCAACCCCAAGGGTTGCACCAAGTGTTTCTGCTTCGGTGCAACCGATCGCTGCCGCAGTGCTGAGAAGCACCGAACGGAGGTGAGAGGGGCTGAGGGCCACCAGAGCCTGCAATTCAGTTGTGTTCCCATCTGCCTGGCTCCTTGCTGCCCTCGGATCTCTGTCCTGCATTAATCCTACCCGTCTAGAAGATATGCTGTGAGGAGGGTTATGTTTGTCTCTCTCTGCCCGTCTCCCACTTTCAGCCCCTTTTCCTCATCTCTGGGGTCTCACAGGGTGGAGAGCCATGGCAGGGGTGATGTTCAGCTTTCCAGTGGCTTCATCAGGATGGTGAGGTTGTGAGCCTGTTATCGTCGTTTCTGCTCTTCTGGGACTTGCTCTTCTGAAGCATCATGATCCGAACACATTCTGTAGCTCCACCAGGGCTCTGGGGGCTCTCTGGAGACACTCACGGTTTGCTTTTCCCCCACAGTTCGTTGACATGAACGGGTGGCTCTTGCTGAGCAGCGACCGCCAGGAAGTGCCGACAACTCTGAGCCTGCGGGAGCAGCTCCTCCACGCTGATCTCAAGAACCTCCTGGATGCGTACCAGGAGCTTTACTGGGTTGCACCCAGCTCCTACCTTGGGGACCGGGTAAGAATGCAGTGGCAGCTGGACCAGCAGTCATACCCATCCCTGACCCCACCGACACGTGTGCCAGCAGCACGCCCGCTGACACGCAGGCATTGCTCACGCTCCGGTTGAACACACACAGCTCTGACCCAGCTCAGTGGCATGGACTCGCAGCAACACATGCAATTTGTCTGTCCCTTAGGTTTCCTCCTATGGTGGGCACCTGCGCTACGAGCTGCACTCTGACCCGCGGAGGGGTGACGTGTTTATTCCCGTGGAGTCCCGCCCGGACGTGATCCTGAAGGTGCAGCCTGGGAGATTCCCTGGTGCCTCCTGCTAACACAGGAGCAGGTGGGGTGGTGACTGACACCTTCCTTGCTTTTCCCAGGGAAATCAGATGAGCATCATGTTTCTGGAAGGCACCTACCCTTCCCCAGGGGAGGTACACAACGGTCAGCTGCAGCTGGTGGAGGTGAGTTTGCACACACAAGTGTGTACCAAGTGCTTAGATGTTACTGAAAGGACAAGGCTAGCATATAGACAGAAGGGACGATTGCTTTGAGCTCAGTATTTTAGGTGCTGCTGTTGCAGCAGAACTGTTTGTGACCACCCAGGGCTGTTTTATCTGTGCAAAGGGGAGACATTCCAGCAGCAGGGAAGTGAAGGCTGGGCTGGATTTTCAGGTGCCTGGTACAAAATAAAGGCTTGTCCTTCCTGCTGGTAATGTCAGGTCTTCTCCCACTAGGGTAACTTCAGGCACACAGAGACACACAACCCTGTGTCTAGAGAGGAGCTCATGATGGTGCTGGCAAACCTGGAACAGCTGCAGATCCGGGCGCTCTTCTCCCAGCTCTCTTCATCCGTGTCCCTGCGCCGTGTGGTCCTAGAGGTGGCAACAGATACAGCTACTGGCATCCGCGCCAGCAACGTGGAGCTGTGCTTTTGCCCAGCTAACTACCAGGGCGACTCCTGCCAGGTAGGGCGAAAGGAGACGTGCTGCTTCAGGCAGGGGCGGGGGGGTCAAACAGCCACCGTTTGGGGCCTCAGCCACCCCTTGTGCTTGGTATGGGTGGCAGCATCAGGGTTTGGATGTTCGTGTAAAGCAGTGATGCCAGAGTACCAGCTTCTAAGCTGACACCCGAGGGCTTCAGTTGAAATTACAGCTCAGGTTGTAGCTGAGGAAGGAACAACATCTCCCAGGCTCCCCTCCCACCACAACACAGTGCACCTGGGAGAGGTGTGTTAGCTGCATCTGTCCTCTTCAAAGAGGCATGATGGGGAAATCAGTCAGGTGTTGCAGACCAAAATTACATGCATGCACTACCTTGGAATAGGTCCTTCTGTCTGGCCAATTATCTCCTACTGATGAGGAGCAGGAAGGAGCTACACTGAAAAATCGTGATTGTTGCTTTTAATCTCTTCTCCATCAGTACAACCCTGTGGGAATTCTGTCATGGAAACTAAATTAGTCCTTTTGCTTTGCCTGAATATATCAGGCTGTTTTTCACATCTCTTTTTCTCTGTCCTCAGGAATGTGCTCCAGGTTACTACAGGGACACCAAGGGGCTCTTTCTGGGAAAATGTATCCCATGTCATTGCAACGGCCACTCAGATCGGTGCCTGCCGGGCTCTGGGATATGCCTTGTAAGTAAACAGTAAACCAGCATGGTATTTTGGAGTTGTAAGGTCTGCAGCGTGCAGTTAAAAAGCTCTTCATATACAAACTGAGCTGGCAGGTCCATGCCTGAACTGGAGCATTAGCTGCATGTGCCATTTCAGGGATGGTCCTGCTTGGGGACAGCTTAGGGTCAAAGATATTTTGGGGAAAGAGGAGGGGCTGGAGCGTCCAGATATCCAGTGGGATATTCTTTGTGCAGCACACATTTCTTGCTGTGAGTGCTGAGCCTGCAGCCTGCCTTCTCCTTGCAGAACTGCCAGCACAACACAGAGGGAGACCACTGTGAGCGGTGCAAGGATGGCTACGTGGGCAGCCACTCTGCCGAAGAACCCCTGCAGTGTGTTGGATGTCCGTGCCCTCTTTCAGTTGCCTCCAACAAGTAAGCACCCTTGGATGGGATTGTCTGTTTGGACCCCCTGATTAACTGCTGGGAAGTGCGCTGTGCCACATCAGGGCACTGGCTTGGCTCTGGTGGGTGTCCCAGTGCAAGCCTTGTCCATGGCCATAAGCTCACTCTCTTACCAGAGGCTCCAGCAGCCCACACCAAGTGATCAGCTCCCCTGGCACTATGTCAGGGGTAACTGTACCTTCCTGTCGCCTCTTGTTTCAGTTTTGCCATCGGTTGTGTCCACAAGGGCTCCAACATGCAGTGCCTCTGCAAGCCTGGCTATGCTGGACCCAACTGTGAGCGGTAAGGGTGATGGCACCCATGTTTCTGGGGCCTCAGACGCACTAGTCCCATGCAGCCATTGCTGTGGCAGAAGTAAAGTTGTCCTAGTAGAGACAGAGACTGCAGAGGAAGAGGTTGGCTCTGCCCACGGTGCACTTAGCTCTGGCAGGATTTCTTTCAATCCTTTTCAACCTGCAAATGCCCTGTTGCTGTCTCCACTGCTGATAGATTGTGTTACCGTGGGTGTATTCCTCAGCTGTGCTTTGCCTTAACTTGCAGTCTGTGATAAAGGCACCTTTCTGAGGTATCATGAGGCAAAACACAAAGTGCTTTGAGATCCCTGAGGGGGTTGCAGCAGTTACAAGTGTTGGATGCTTGCACTGTTATAATTGCATAACTCAAGCGTGGTGCAGGCACGAGCTGTGGGGATCCCCCGATGCCCTGCCTGTGTTTTAACTTGCCGTATTTCTCCAGGTGTGCCCCAGGATACTATGGCAATCCCTTGGTGATTGGCAGTTCGTGCCAGCCCTGCGACTGCAGCGGGAACACGGATCCCAACATGCTGTTCAGCAGCTGCGACTCCCTGACGGGCGCCTGCACGGGGTGCATGCACCACACGGCCGGTGCGCGGTGCGAGGTCTGCGCCCCCGGCTACTATGGGGACGCGGTGGCAGCCAAGAACTGCACACGTGAGTGGGGCAGGCAGCAAGCACTGGCAGGGGAAGGTGGACAGACTGACCGTGGATGTGTTTAGTGCCTTAGCCAGGCTGTGCATTGCCCCGCTGAGTCACGCGCTTCGTTGCAAACATTGCGCGCATTGTCTAAAGATGGTAATAAGAAAAAAAACCTCCAAAAACCTGCCCTCCAGCATCACAACTCCATAACATCCGATCCACCCCTGAATGCAAGCCGCCAAGCTGCACCCAGGCTGGGACGGTCTTGCCCCGAGCAGCTACTGCAGCAGCAGTGCTGGCGCTCCCTCGGGAGCGTGGGTTTGCACAGCGCGCTCCCAGCGCTGCTCATCTCCCTCTGAGAACAGCAGCTCACCAAGGGGGGTCTGTCCTGGGCAGGCGTGCTGGGAATAAGTTACCAGCAGGAGCAAATCCAAGAGTCTGTCTTTGCTCTGTGGTACGTAAGGAGGAAATAGGATTCCCTGTTGGGAATAAGGTTTGTGAGTGGCTGAGCAGGCTCTTCACTGTATAACTGACTGTATTTTCCCCTGGTAGAGTGCAACTGTTCGCCTTGCGGGACAGACTCGTGCCATCCGCGAACCGGCCAGTGCTTCTGCAAGACTGGAGTGACTGGCCAGCACTGTGACCGCTGCGAGGTGAGGACTGTCTGGCACTGGGATGGTGCCTGTGCTTGGCACAGGGGTGAGGGGCAGCCCCGGTGTGTCCTCCCCAGGCCTGTGGGCAGAGCGGTGCTGGCAGCTGCACTGGCAGCCAGGTGGTTAAGAGTGGATTTGTGTGATCTGCTTATGCACGGCGAAAGCTTGTTAAAGATCTGGTAGCACGCGATGGAGGCAGGGTTCAGCTGCAGCCTGGGCAGTGGTGTGGTACCCTCTGGGAAACTGCAGTAAACCCCATTTCCCTGCATGCGTCCAGCGTGGGCATGCAGGGAAGGGTAGGTTTGCAGAGCAGTGCTGTGGTGTGTCTGGGCTGTTACTGCCGCTCCACGTCTTTGCTGTGCTGATACGAGTTTTGTGGTACTCGAAACACTCCTCGAAAGCAAGGCTGGGGCCCCACGTTGCCTCAGCATGCCCCAGGAGGGAGGTACGCGTGCCCTCTTGCTGAACAGGGCACCCCCTGTCCTGCTTTTCCCTAGGAGGGCTACTATGGCTTCGAGGGATGCTCTGGCTGCCGGAGGTGTGACTGCGACGTCGGCGCCGTG